AGTTTTTGACAAGCAACAACACGGTGATTGTGCCTCATCCACCTTACTCACCCGACCTGGCTCCGTCGGACTTTTCTGTGTTTCCACGGATGAAGAGAAGTCTGAAAGGAAAGCGATTCCGTGATGTGGATGAAGTCAAAGAAAACACGCTAAAGGCTTTGAACAGTATCCAGCCTCAAGAATTCCAGCACTGTTTTGAGCAGTGGCAAAAGCGTTGGGACAAGTGCATTAATGCACATGGACAATACTCTGAAGGGAACTAATATACAGTTCAATAAAAATGCAAAAATAAAAAATAACAAAAATAAATTCCGGTTATTTTTGGGTCCCCCCTCGTATATCTCCACTCCTCCATTACGTCTTCATGGCATAATGCAAAATTAATTAAGTTCAGGGATAACTTTAACTTTTTACATTCATGTTCAGTGCCAAAGTTGAAAAAAGTAAGGCACACGAGATGGAGATTAAGAAGTCAGATTCATGCTCCAACTGCTTTACCCTCCCCCCCTCGACCCAGAAACATGTTCCCAATACTCAACCAGAATTAAAAATAATTCTAGTTGAAACAGTATGAAAGAATATTAAACAAGGGCCAATGGGAACAAAAACGTCGCCGCTCCCAAGCGCACTATGAGAGTCGAAACCGGAATTCGAGGAGGCAGAAAGCGGTTAGTTCTATTTTTAAACACTTTGCCCATCAGTAACATTTCTCCCTTGGCGACTTGCAGGCCTCGACGCCTCTGGGAGACCCAGGGCAGAGAGTACGCTGCCGATATGCGAGCCAAAGAATTCTGGCGAACTTCCATCCCGCACGTGGTCTGTACTAGTATTTTTAATTTCCTTATTTAGAGACGGCCGAAATAGCAAATGGAATTAATTTAAGTGAGAGCCTACGGCAGTTTGAACCGGGAAGAACCCTCTCGCTTCGTAACATGAAGACAAATGAGAACACCGGCCACCAGTTCGATGCTTGGCCGGGACACTAGCTATTCTGAATTAGAATTTTCCTAGTTTTCCTCAGTCCCTTCATGCAAATACTAGGACAATACATCGATTAGGCCACGATCGCTTCCTTCCAAATCCGTTCCAATTCACTCTTCACCAGCCTTGTTACCATCAGAAGCTACAGCATATAGTCCACAAATAAAAACGAGCAGGTGCACACAGCGGTACCATCGAGACCACGGGAAACGCATACTTCTCTGACAACGGACACGGGTTTCTATCTCGCAATTTATAAAAAGCTTATTTCAGTGAAGATAATGGAGGGGGGGCGAAGTACAGGAGTTGAGATGTATATATTTCTGCAGTAGTAATAAGTTGACGACTATGTGTAACTGCCAAAGCGGCCTCCGTAGTCTAGGGGTAACGTTCCCACCTCATGACTCAAGGTATTTTAAGGGCGGAAAAATTCGAGGAACAAGTCCTCCGGAAGGGACTTTAAGCCGTGGGTCCCGTGTCGTAGATTTACGGCACGTAAAAGAAACTCATGTCTATAGGAGACCTCTGAGCAAAATTATTAGTTAAAAACTTTCCCGCCCAAGTAGTTTCCAATGCCTCTGGTAGAGGGGGGAAGTATCGAGGTACCGAGGGCCGACCTCGTTGGCTCAACGGGGCTGACAACACCGTCTACCGGTAGGGTATGAGGACAGTAGAAATTAAAGGGGGGCGCACAATGGACCAATAACTGGTCTAAGTGCACGGGGAGACCCACCCCCTCCATAATAATAATAATAATAATAATAATAATAAATGTGTAACTGCCAAACAATGGTTTTATGCAACTGTTATTATTCACAACAGCCGGATTATTGACTTCTTTCTATCTTAACGTACGCAGTGAGCAAATAGTTCTTGCGCGAACTAAAGATGTCACTTCATACCGATAGAGGCCTTAGTCGCTGGCTTCCCACTGCGGTGGCCTGGGTTCGAGCCCGGGTCTGGTCATGTGGGATCTGTGGTCGACAAAGTGGAACTCTTGAGTACTTCGGTTTCCCCTGCCAATCTCCATTCCACTCAAATGCTCCACATCATCATCATTTATCATCTGGGGCTCGTCCAATAGGCCATTATTGGCCGCAGTAACAGGTGGACTCAGTCTCACCCCACTAATAATAATAATAATAATAATAATAATAATAATATCGATAAATTGATACGGTGTGTAAAAAAATAATATGATACCGATATTAATTTTATGTTTCTCTACATCACTGGTAGCATAGAGTGGCTGTTGTTTATTCCGAAGTGATGAAAACTTCGTCCATTGTAGAAAATTTGGACTTGATTATTACGAACACACAAAACAAGTGAATATCCGTGACAGACCTGTACGCACAAATGAAGGCTCATAGAGTATTGTTTACAGAAATTTAAATACAGGACAACGCGCCACTGTAATTTAGGTCTACGTACGATAATTATAATATGTACAAGGAAAGACAATATTTAGCTCTGGAGCTGGCAGGCAGTGCACGCCTTCCCCCTCCCTGCACTTTTTCGGAAAAGAGAAATCGAAATTGAGAAAGGAGGAATTATACAAAGTATTAACACAAAAAATTAAAATTATATCTATGGGTATCTTCTATCCTGAATAGAAAGACCGGTCCGTAAAAATGCCCCTAAAGGGCTTATGTATGAGTCTGTAAGCAAGCGTTCGGCTACCCACATCGTTGAGTCCATGATGTTTAAGCTTGAATTTAGTTAGGCGTGTGAGCAAATTAAACAGCCTTAAACAGGTAACACGGTTCGATATCGACATGGAGCTCCATGTAGATTAATATCTCTCATTTTTCTTCCGTCCAGTGCATCAGGAACACTTGCGCTCGTGAATTCTGCCCGTAGATGTCACGTGATTTCGGTAAGTCGTCACAATGAAACCTTAACTACGCCTGGAAAATATTTAAAATTCAGTTCCCACCGCAGAGAAGGCACACTACACTATTAGGATAATGACGACGCCTTGTTTTGAGAAGAAAATGCGATACGTCACAAGCACGCTGCACAATATGCTAGTTACCAATTCTCATGTGCAGGGAAATAAACGCTCTTTATTCTGAGACTCAAATAAAACTTGTAAACAAAGTGCAAAGTGCACAGCTTGTGGATGTTAGGGATTAACTGAGCGCTCAGAGCAGCTAGGTCCGTTAACCAACTCACCAATTGACCTGGACCCCGTGACGGGGCTCAGAGGGTAGAAGTCTCCATGCAGTGGGCAGTGGAACCCAACTCTCCTCTCTCTTCTGCGGGCCCGCCGAGTGAGCAGACATAGGCCGACGCCTGCCGCGAGCATGACGACACCCACAACGATGCAGGCAGGACCCAACACCCGCGAGTTGCCGGTGAAAGCGACCCTGGCAGCGTAGTGGTCCGGCCCCTCATCTCGTCCGGGTCCCCGGTACGACGCTGCCGTGAGGACGGCTCCCACCAGCATGAAGAGGAAACCGAATGCCGGAAGTGCCACCTGGCAGTTCGCGGCCACCACGACTCCAGCAACCATCAAGCCTCCTTCAATCTTCTCCACCCGCAGACGCGATATGGGCGCAGGGCACCTCAGACCCACACTCTCTTCGACTGCAGCGTCACTGGGCCTGTGTGGGGCAGAGGGACACCAATGTAAGAGCGTACGAAGGGTACAGCAGGGTGAGGTCCCAGTTGCAAGTTATCACTTCTAACACCAAATGAAACATGAGGACCGTGCGCGCCAATTTTGCTTTAAACTGAGTAGTACTTAACTGTGTTATGGGATATGACGCCACGTAGCTCAGTAGAAGTTCACCAACGTTCCTCTGAAACGTCGGTGAAATGCAAGATAATATGGCTTCACATCCCAAAAGACAGTACCCCTCGTAGCCACTGCTGTGAGAACCTCAGATTCAAGATCAATAAAAGCTTGTGTGTATGTACGTTGTTTGGTTCAATAGCGGTGACACGCAGCAGCGTAGTTGGCTGAGGTACTCTGCTACAAGATGGAAGGCAGACAGTTCTATTTCCGACGAGGTCACTGGGTTTTTCAATTTACCTAATCCTTCCTCGACGTCTCACAACCCTATGGGCCTCCACGGCCTCTTAGAGGGATAATTTTACCTTTTATCTAATCGCTTCAGCCTCACTATGTCCTTGTGGTCGACTCAGCCTGGAGGCTGAAATGAGCACCAGGATCTTCCTAGGGGTAAATGGCGGCCGGCGCTTAAGGCTGACAACCTCGCTGCTATCTGTGAATCGACTGTCTAAAAAAAAATATGGGAGCCTCGACTTCTCACAACCCTATGGGCCTCCACGGCCTCTTACATTAATAGCTTTACATATTTTACACGTAGTTCAATAACTGAACTTAGTGAAATCTAAGAAAAATCTCCGTTTAGTAGTTCCATTGCATCTGCTTGGTGTAGACAAGTTTCATCAGTATCGCTAACTTACCGAACAAGTTTCTGTGCGCGCATGCATGTGGATCCTGAGTCCTCACACACGGAAATATAAGGCATACTTATCGTGAAAGGTTTCTAATCTAGGGGTCAAAGTCAGTGTTACTTTACGGCTGTTCCAGCAGCTATTGTTGCGTGCGTGTCCCTTGTGGTTATCACGTAACGGCTACCGAGTCACAGCCTAGCAACGGCTTTCTCTGTTGGCTTCACAATTCTGGCTTGCAGCAGACATGCCACATTATGTACTTGCAGCGCTCAACCAAGTACGTGAACACACACTGGTTACTGATAGGACACATCCCTGAGGGCGGTTTCTTTGCGCACTCACTCATCTAGGACGAATCAGCCGATTCTCAGGAAACTCCGAGACACCGACGTGAAGGTCCGCTTTCAGCCTTACTGGTAAGGCTGGTCTACTACTTCATATGCATGTGGACAACACGAGGAAGAAAATCAATCTGTGAGGAAAGACGCGGCAAATCCCAGCTTCCTCGTGTTTCGAACCAGGATCCGGCCATTAAATTTTTCAAGACTGAAATTCGACTAAATAATATCTGAAAGCTCAGTTTCATAGTAAACACACTGCGTGTCTATTACAAAGACGTGCTTAGGGAAATGGTCACTGTTTACTCTGAGCCGAAACACGCGAAGACGCTATGTGGGCAAAATGCAGAGTGGTGCATATCGTTACACCGAGTCTCTTGAAGCTGATGCAGTAAACTTGTGACTAGCTGACTTATACTTTGCCAATAACTGGACCATCGCGTGTGCCGATACTAAACTTTGTAACGTCAACTCGTTCCTCTTAGGACTGAAATGAGTGACTGGCTTGGAGCTCAGGGGCCAGGGTTACATTCCCGAAGAGGGACTGAGTCCGGGATCCAGACAGTGTTTACAATCAGAAGGCTACCCTGGGCACTTAATCAGATGCATCGGGCGCCTTCCAGTGGCCTGATGAAGGCTGCTGCCTTGCGTGACGCGACGTCTTTACTTGGCAGATGGGTACCATCGTTTCGGATGAACCTGCTGCCTCCAAACGGCGAAACGTCTAACCTAGTTTAATTTCAACTTTCACGTCCAGCCATAAGCGTCTTATAAGAGATTCTGTAATCAACGAAGTAATTGACGTCACAGAGCGAAATCCTTCTTGGAAAGCTAACACTCATTTAGCTGCTCGAAAAATCACCCCATTTTTCGGAACCTGTCCGCACGGGCCCGCTGTTGGATTCCATCTTTATCCGAAAACCACAGCCTTCGCCTCTCCTACGTATTCCTTTAAGATACATTTTAATATTGTCCTCCAATCTACGCGTAGTTCCTTCAAGTGTTCCTATTCCCTTCAAGTTTTGCACCCAAAAACTCTGTATGCACCTCTCATGTCTCCCGTGGTTGCCTCACACCCTGAGAGGGCGCATGCAGTTTTATACGGAAACTGCATGCGAGTGAAATCCCCTCAGTTACTGACACGTGCATAGACGAGCGGACGGCCGACCACAAAATCACACAGAACTGGAAACTCGCGGAACCTGAACCGCGCTTCTCCTCAGACACTACCTCGAAATTGCGGTAAACCTTTATACAGGCCTACAGAAATAATATTAAAAAAAAACAGCAGGCTGTTAAAGAGACTGAACTGATAAACGTCCAAAAGCATTTACAAACCAAGGGAAAACAGTTAACCTCAAAGCAGGCACTGCTAGGTAGCTGCGAACAGTTTGCTACTCCGTGCATGGAAGTCGCCACAAATAGCTGACCCCACAAGGGGCCATCGCGTGACGATCCGGTCTAGCATTGTTTATTCAGAACTGTGGCGATCAATCTGGCGATGAAGCAGAAGCACAACTGTCTCACATGCAGGAGGTCGATCAGGGCTCCACTGAGCAGGAAACCAGTCTCACAGTCAGTCTGCTGACACCCGACTCTCAAGCATATAAACCGAATGGCACAACAAAGATCCTGTTATACAACGATCATTATTGCGTAACAGATGTCACTATCCGTACTCCATCTTCCTGTATCGACTTCTCATCCGACCCCCCCCCAATTCTCCACCCGCGCACGCCGAGCGAGAGTCACAATGAAATAGCCGCTCTGTGCTGGTACCGAGCGAACAAGCCCTAAAACAAAGCATCTCGTGTCAACTGTCCTTTGTTTAACATGTTCTTGCGTATATTGTGACGCACATACCCATTGCTAACTAACGGGTCTATAAATACATTTACGCGGAAGAGTGGCGTGGAACAATAGGACGTCCATTTCTAGGCAACGGGGCGGTAAACACGCCTACGATTTGTTGAGAGACGGTGCTTTCCGTTGGGTCTGTCCCGATGCTATATATCTAGGAATTCCAAGAGAGTATCAGTCCCGACCTCTCGTCAGAGAGGGCGCCCCAAATGGACAGGACAGTAACTTTCTTATAAGTCGCAATGTGACTTGGACTTGGAGTAGTCAGTCAGAAAGTCAGTCGCAGCCCAGAGAGACACTGGAACGAGTTCTCGGCATTCAAGAAAGAAGGGTTCGGCTGAAGATTGATTGTGATTAAGAGAGATTGTAAGAGCAGCTGTCAATAAATCCAAACCAGAACCCGTTATTGTTAGTCACGGAGCCATACACACTTGACACATGTTCCTTTCAAGACACGGAAATTACTGGGGGGGGGAATGGCATCTGGACATTCTAAGGGAGAATTCAAATGTACGTAAAGTGTTCTTACTTTCAGGCGGTTTTTTAACCGCAGTGCAAGAAGGCCTGGTGGCACAGCAGCGGCTCCAGTGTCAATGTATTACGCAACAATAGACTGCCTTATATCTTCAAACGTAGACTTAATACAAACTGCGTCACCATATGTTTGGTTCATACACCCCTTCACAGCGCATCCTGCTTTCGGCCACTGCAGGATTTCGCGGGCGCTGCAAACTCTTTCAGACACTTAACCCAAGGTAATAGCGTTACGTCTCTAGCCACACACAACAGAACAGACAGAGATCGAGGACAATTCTCATTCAACCGACTGCTCCACATTCATCATCTTCATCATCTATAATCAGGGGTCGGTATAATAGGCCAAACATTGGGTGACGCACCAAATGCACTCAGTCTGACCCAACTCCAAGGAAAGAGGATCACATCACTACGCAACAACCTACCAACACACGTGGTTCTCTCCACAAAGGCTCTTCCGCTTCTCCGTCGGATACACCGAATCGAACTTCATGATGTCCACGTAGCGTCACGTAATGTTCCGGTGCAATGCGTACGTCACTTCTTGACGCATCATTCGACAGAAATGTAAGTGAAAGAAATATTCGTGTTTCGTCCTCACTTGTTAACCGGCAGTTTCTTCTGAAAGGGAAATGCACAGGATTCATCCTTGTTTCTCTTTTTACGTGAAAACTATTTATAAGTACAAAATACAAACATACCGAGAACAATACGGTCTTCTGTGTTGTAACACCATGTAGTTCGGCGACAGCCCGACGTTTCAGAGGAACATGTCGCCTCCATCTTCAGGGTTGAAGTGCAGGCTAAGTAAAAAAAAACAGCAGAAGCTCAGCTCAGCTTGCCGACAGCTTCGGCTGGTTCCCTGTTTCGCTTATTCTTCGACCCTGATGATGAAGATGTGTTCCTCCGAAACGTCGAGTTCTCCAAAACTACAAGGTGTTACATCCCAGATGACTGTAGACTTCATAATCACAGCCGTAAGAACATCAAATGCAACAAAACCTGAGAGATTTTGGTTCCTCTAACTGCAACACGTACGCGACAGATAAATACAGAGCCATATATCAGAATGCTTTTGTGTAGAGTGTATGAACATATGTCCCAGTAAGAGTGAAAGGAGTTGAGAGTTCCGTGTGTATAGAGGAAGCTGTCACACGAACTTTGCAGACGAACGGGACCAGTAAACACAAGTGGAATACCCGTTCTCCACCCGGGATATTTTGTTTTTTTCCATGCCAACATCACTGAACATAATAGAGAAGGAATGACACTCAAATTAACAAATATAAATGTACTCATGTATTACAAAAGAGACGGGTAATGTGGGTTCAAATTTCACCTAAAAACCCTACCGCAAAATTTGAACATCGCTTTAACAGCCGTGGTGACCGTATGCACGTATACTGGAAAAAATAGGGAGCGAATTTAATAATGTGTTTGGGTGT